ATATATATATATATATATATATATATATATACACACACACACACATACACACACACACACACACACACATACATACTGTACATAAATGTAAGATTATTATTATATATTTTGATTGTATCTGACCTTAGGGCTGTAATAAACGTGTGTGTGACGGTCCACATAGTATTTCCCAAGTCACTCTTGATTCAGAAGCCACCCGCTGCCTTACGTTCAAGGGCTGTCCATCCCCTACTGCTCCCCTCCGAATTTTGGCAAAGAGGGATATGAAGTGGAATGCATTCTGGACTCAAGACCCAGAAGGGGATGCTTAGAATATCTGATTCCTTGGCTTTTAAGGCTGGTAGCCATAGTATTCCATCAGATAGAGGCTAAAATATGTTCTGAAGGAAGGCAGGGAGCAGAAATACTCTTCCATCAGCATGCCCACCTATTCCTGAAAGGGCAGAGGAGGATTGGAGACAACTGGTGTAGAAACTGGTTGGAGGCATAAAGAAGACAGAGAGGCTTTGGCCAGATTGGGCATGGTGGGAATGCAGTTAATGCCCCTTGCCAGATTAAAATCCATCTTCAAAAGGGTGAAGAAGACATTGAAAACCTCTCATGAGACATGCCCGAAAACACCTCTATGGATCTCAGCACAAGAAGCGTTTTATAAAAGAGAAACAGCAAAGACAAATGGTTAACATACCAGGAATTATTGGAAAATCACCAAGGGGAATATAATATTAAATCAAGAGAACAACTAATGGCAGAAGGATATCATTGTCAATGGTTTTCCCACTTACAGTTATCAGAAAGATTTAAAATGGATAAAAAGACTTATGGTATGGAGCAAAGACAGACAGAATCTGGAGTGCAATTGTGCACCGATGACGAATGTGTAATTGCTAAAATGTATAAACTTTTGCTGCAATTTGAAACAGAGGAAGAACAGGTTAAAGAACGTATGATAAAGTGGACTAGAATTTTGGTTATAATACACAGATGGATCAATGGGAAAACATGTGGTTAAAAAGGTTGAAATTTATATTATGTTATGATCTTAAGAATTTTTATAAAATGATATATTGGGACATGACACCAGTAATTTTCTAGAAATTATCTAAAAAGTATAAAGGCATTTCAAATGTATGTTGGAAATGTGAACAACATGAAGGGACATTTTATCATATTTGGTGGACATATAAAAAAGCTAAAAAAAATTGGATTCAAATACATACATTGATACAGAGGATTTTAAAGATCAATATCCAACTGAAGCCAAAACTTTTCCTTTTAGGATTGATGAATAAACAGAAACGAGCCATGGAAGATTATGTCAATATATGATTACTGCAGCGAGATTACTACATGCACAAAGATGGAAAGATTCAGCATTACCCATCATGGAGGAATGGTTGGTGAAATTGACAGAACTTGCTGAGATGGACAAACTTACTTCTTTGATTAGAGAAAGGTCATTATTGATGTTTATCAATCACTGGAAACCCCTTATGGATATTTTACATAAGAAAGAAAATGATTTTGTGATTTATGGTTTAATTTCATCATAATTTATGGGAATTATAATGAAATCTTGGAGAGAGTGATTTGATTAGAATTGTATGTATAACTGTTGAAAGGAAGATTGGAAGCCACTTCTTTACATATTTTTTTTACATGTTTTCTATTTTTTATTTTTTCTGCCTTTTTTCTTTCTGCCCCTTCCTTCCTTCCTTCCTTCCTT